ACCCAACCAATAAACCAATCCACAAACGCACTCACCCAAACATAATACCCAAATGTACGACCCTCCCAACCACCCAACCAACCACCACATCCACCCAACTATCCACCACCCAATAACCGTCATCCCACCACCCGACCGACCACTCAACATCCTCATGTTTTGGAGCCCGGCCATCCAATCGCCCAACCAACCAACCGTCCCTCCTAACCCCTCATCCACCCAACCACCCACCCCACAACCAACCACCCACCCACCCAACCACGCAACAACCGAACCACCCAACCACCCACCCAACCACCTAACCAACCAACTAACCAACCCATCAAACCACAAAACCGCCCACCTAACCACCCAACCAACCAAACAACCAGCCACACAACCACCAATCCATCCGCTCAACCACCCAACGAACCACCTAACCCAACCGCCCAACCACCCAACCACCCAACCACCCAACCACCCAACCACCCAACTAACCAACGAACGTACTACTGTTCGTAATGATGAATATATATTTTTTACAGCCGAGAGACTGGACTCATTGTGTCCGTCGCTTATCGTACGCATTGTGTTGCCGTCATCTTTCGCAGTGTCGTCGGCTAGCAATTCAGACTGTTCGTAATTGCCAGGTTCACTTATTCAACCTTGCGACATAACATGAGCGACGTTGTTGTTGTTGTGAAAGAGGCTGTGGATGGAAAGGAAATCGTCGTGAGGGAGACAGTGTGTGAGCGCGATACTGAAAACGAAAGAGACTTTGAACATTGGGAAGGGGTTGTCGCCACGAAAACATGTGTGTACTACTCGTTCATCGATGACACCCTCGCTTTGAGGGTCGTGGCAGGGCTGGGGTACGACGACCATGATCGCCTTGATGAGGTTGTAATGCACGCAAAAAAACTTTCGGATGTCTTTCCTGACGCTTGCGAACCCCCCGACTTCGATATGATTGGTCATTTACTAAGGTGCATCGTGTCAGTCATTGCGGTCAAGCATGTGGAAAGGTTAGCACCCAACGCATGGTATTTCTCCAAACTCGACAGGCCGCTGCAACGCCGTACTTTTCTCCACGGAGATGTGCGCACTGTGTTGCCAATGGACGGTTGCCGACAACAGTACCAAAGTGTCAACGAACCATCATCCCGGTCGTCTCATGCTTAGTTTAAAACAGGTGGGTTGACTCACAAAATCGTAAAGGTTTTTAACATTCGACAGTGTTCGAGACCGCGACTACCCGCTCATCTCATACATATGTTTAAAGTGTCTTCCCCCTCCCCATGCGGTACATGCAAAATATCATGTTTGCGTTATTCGTTGCTCGATCGTTAGGTTTATAACTTACGGTGTCGTTTTCTGTGAATCGCAGCACTTTGTGAACGCCATACGAAAGAAGCGACGATGCATTGCGTGCCAATGATTGTTCGATGTTACCACACCATAAACTGACAGGCGGCGACACCGTATACTATTACGAATCAATGACTACCGTAACAGATCCTGTCGGCGATGCAGCGGGATACCGCAATGAATACAGGAAGGTGGATCGTCATTTCGTTGTCAGCGTGGAGGAGGAACGAGTCGTTAGACTCACTACAAAAACTTATATTCGCGACCACTCCATCGAACACGTTCGTATCCTAATGTCTAAGCCAACCACGTACTTCAATACTTTTTATCTCAAACCGGTCGACGGTGATTTCATGTATGATATCGTATTCCCCCTTGTGCATCGTATACTATACACACACTACGGGACGGTTGCTCGGGACGGCGTCTGGCGCCTGGTCGTGTCACCGCCCTATTTTGTCTCTAATGGCGAGGATTTCTCTGCCATGTTTTGTCCTTGCAGTGCGACCCAACGATGAGTACCATTCGTTAATTTTTTTCTTAGTTTCTTCGTTGTTGGAGAGATAGAGAGATTATGGTTTCAATGATTGTACATTCTCTCTTTATACATATGCAAGCCCTATCTCCCATATGTTTGTTATATGTTTTCAGTATATATATATTTTTTGCCTACTTTGCGTTCTGAAATTTGTTTTCGTTTTCATTATGTGGAGGTACAGTAGGTACAATACTAAGGTAATTGGGTACTAAGGTAATTGGTGCCCGTAATGTTCTGTTTTGTAGATTTCAAAAAAATCACACATAAACGACAGAACAATATTCACCCTTTCAAATACATGGACCGTCGACGACGCAGGGCTGGCGTGCGGTCCGACGCAGTAGTATTTGGAAATGGGACAGATACTGATCCTTTCCGCAACGAGGAGCTGACAGTCGCCGAGATTAGGAGCCGGTGACCGGGACCCGCAGCGCTTTTGGAGGAGGTTGTGACTTTTGCTGGCTTGGAGGAGCATTTGCAACAGTGCATGAATCTGCTTATTGGTCGTGCAAATCTCGAACCCAAGCAGAATCGTTACAAAGGATATGTCGTTTTTTCTTGGCTGTGCGGGTTCGTCGTTTTCCGACAGAGATTGCCAGATGAGTTTCAAGACGCAATGCGGGAACGATGGCCAGATACAATTATTCGAGGTTTTGAACTACGACAATGTGATCCTCCTGAAAACGCACGCCCACGTCGACGTGCACAATGGTAAATGCTTCACGAGAAATATATATATATATATATATATATATATATATATATATATATATATAGTATATGTATATATATCGTCAAATAGAACTGCCCGGTAAACCGTAGGCAGAGAGGGAGAAGAGGACAACAAATGAGGGGCTGTGACAAACTGTTTCGTCGGAGTTTCACAGACTATATATATATATATATATATATATATATATATATATATATATATATATATATATATATATAGAGAGAGAGAGAGAGAGAGAGAGAGAGAGAGAGAGAGAGAGAGTATGCTTGCCTGCAGTGTGAGTACGTTTGTCAGTCCGACTGTGTGTTTGCCTTGAGTGTGTGTGCGCAATCGTAAACTTAAGCGTGGGGGTTGCTTTTGGTGTGACTCGTAACGGCCCGTGCTTGTTCGACAGGCCATCAGGCCCGATACTTACCTATTGTCGTGACTTGCAGGGATTGCATTATGTAAAATTTGGTTTCCCTGATGTACATAGTCTTCTTCTTCTTATAATCCTCGATCTCTCGTTTGAAGTTTACTTATTTCTTTTTGCAATTGTATGTCATTGTACCATTGGCAATGCAGTCTGAGCGATTCTAATCCTCGCTCTCGCCACTCAACTTCATTCATTTACTGTTGCAACTGGATGTCATTGCAATATTGGATCAACGTGAAAATATGAATTGGTTCGGCTATATAATGTGCGATCCAACTGTTGCCTAAGTGCGTAAGCATGTGAAGTATGGATGTATGTGTAACTCAACATTGGTCCAATAATATCTATACGCAGAGGAGGGAAAAAAAAAAAATAAATCAAACACAAGACATGAGATACCATCAGATGTGTGAGAAATATATATATATATATATATCACTTGGTTGTCTTACAGTTTTTTTCGGCGCTCACACACAGACATTCTCAAACACGGCCACACATGCATAAGAATAGGGGTAGACGATTTTGTTTTTTAAAACACCGAACCACCTATACAATAAAAACCACACCCACACATGCATAACAAGAGGGGGAGAGGTGACAGAGTCAATCACGCACACATACAAGGATAAGCAACGGAATTCTACCATGCACACATCGACGAGGTCACACAATGACTCTCACTCTTCGACAGACTCCCAACAAACAATCACAATAAAGAACCTCAGCAAAATCACAATTGATAGAGAGAGAGATAATGAGCCAACTCGAACGAATATCATAACAAAGTTTGTTACAGTCACTTCGTCCCCAATCGATTTCCCTCATTCTACTAATAAAATACAGTACTCTAACCTACACGTAGACCGGACTGACTAACCGACCAATACCGTTGCAGTTTCGCCCTCTCGGCCTCTACCGGACCCGACTATAGGCTATAGGACCGTCCATCAGATCTGGCCATTAGGGCCTGTCTGTCCTGGGGGTAGTCCGGACCTGCTATTCGCAGTAATTGTACGTATAGGAAATTTGAAATAATGCTGGGCCTATATTTCCCATATTTACAGATGTGACCCTCACGAATTTTCCTCACAGGTTGGTCTCACGGTTACGCCCGAGTGAAACGAAATTACAAATCTAACCCTACGGGGTAGTATACAACCTCGCCATCAGTCTTCGCAGTCAGAATGGAAATATATATATATATATATATATATATATATATATATATATATATATATATATATATATATATATATATATATATATATATATATATACAATCAACACGTCAAACTAAAAAGCCGAAAAACATAAAAGTCGCGTGTACAAGATACCACGACATAACATGATGTCAGTCGTCGAACAACTCGACATCATCTTCGTCCAATAGAGAATCGCATGATCGATCGGACACGGCATCCGCCGGTCCAAGCAACCCATCCCCATCGCCAATGATGAAAACATCGTCATCCCCCACAACGTCGGGATCCGCATCTGAAGCAACGTCGTCCTCGTCACGGGCAATGGTATCCTCGCCTCTGCAAAAAAGATCGCGAGGCAGAGGAGGTGTCGAGGACCCGACCTCGCCTGACACATCACAGTCGTCGTACTCGAGAAGGCGTCGAGCCCAATCTGAAACACATTTTGAACCGAAGATGAACGTGGACAACCGATCCATCCATGAATCGGTAGGTGGCCGATTGTGACGGTAGTGGCTCGGCCTTGGACGAATCGAAGTCCCAGAAGGCCTGTGGACACGATACTCCAAGGGATCCTGCCATGTATGACTGTTCCATCGAATGACTGCAATCGCCAAATGCGGCTCATACGACTTCTCGAAGTGCAAGGCCTTCTTCACGTAAATGATGATTGTGCCCTGGAAGGTCTCAACCGTCGACGTATGACGGAACTCCGTGTAGTACGAACAAACGGTCGTGTTGCAATGCCTGCCCAACGTCTGGCGAATGATGTCATACACGGGGTCGTCGTGCGTGTACAGAGGCAGCCGAGATGGGCCACCCGCCTTTGAGCATAGAAGCTCTCTGTCCGCAACGCACCTGGAGTGGTCCCCGACCCAATGGTCGACGATCATCATGACATCATTGTGCAGAGTGACAAAGTCGCCACCCTCATCTGTGCAAAGTTGGGAAGCACGAAGAAACCAATGCCCCACCTCATGGATATGGAACTCAGTCACACCATCTGCATCCACGACCAAGGATTTGTTGTTTTTCATCGTGCCGTACAAGTACATTTTGCTCATCACAAGAGCAACGAAGTCGCTCTTCTTCAATCGTTCTTTTTTTGCCGTCAAAGACCCTGGTCCAAAACGGTCCGTCAAGGCATCCAACAACTCCTTCTTCGTGAACTGCATAAATTGAGATTCCGACAGGCACTGATGAGGGTTGTTCAATTTCTTTGGCACCTTCAGTGTCACGACTTTTCTAAGTGCCTTGCGAATGTTTTTTACCTTATGATGACAATCCTTCTGCCATTCAATACCCAGGCGCTCCAATTGTGGACCCAATGCAGCACAATCGTCGGAGACAATACACCAGATCTTCAACCCCCTCGACATCAAGCCTCTCAACAGGCGCACAACAGCAGGAACCTCAAGCTGGTTCAACGCCTTTCCCTCATTTTTTGGCCGAAGAGTGTGAACACCCACCACAAGACGAGTATCACACTCAAGCGCGGTAACAGTGCACTACTGCGCAGACCTGGCCGAGTCGTAGCGACCGTCAACCATCAAAGTGACGGGTCTCCCTGATCGCATAATGGCCAAGTCGCAATACCGCACGCTCTGCCTGACAACCTTTGCATTCCAACCCTCACGCACATTCGGCTCACCTCGCATGCAACCGTAAAAAGTGGGCTTGTGCACAGGTGTCACCCCAAACGCGATGCAGAAGTCATTGAGGACGGTATCTGTCATACCCGCAGTGACGATCGCATGGAACAACTGCTCCTGAAGTCTGCAAGAGTACACAGCTCCCCCAACCAGTGCACTGTGCCATGTCCAACGACAGGACTTATCACAAGCGAGCGAAATGCGACAAATCTGCCCAGGATAACCGACAGAGGACACATCCACAGCACAACCGCCCCCGTGGCGCGGGCAACTCAAATCAAACAACCCGAGCAACTGCAGCAGCTTCACCGGCTCCACGAAGACGATATCAGGCGCTTTCGAGCCTTCCCAGTGCCCCATCGATTCCAACACATGTGCAGACCGATTATTGCAAGGTCCGGTTTGCAGAGCACCATCCTTCGAATCGTGCCAGCACAAAGGACGTACATGTTCGAAACGCGAACGCGACCTGCCACGGCTTGGTGGCCGCCCGCGCGATCTGCGGCCACGCTGTGACCCGTGCCCTGAATGCGGTAGTGAATCATCCGACTCACAAAATGACCCGCCATTGCCTCCACCGCTCCCTTCACCCTCACGCTCGCCATCATCCTCAGCATCCGCTGTCGAATCATCCCCTCCTGCTCCGAGACGAAACACATCTGCACGGTTGCTGGCTGGTAGTGTTCTCTCGATCCTCGATGCCACACCATCCCCGAACTCTGACCGGATGGCTGGCAATGACCAATGCAACAATCGGTCGATGACATCGCTCATGACCCCAGACTTGTCGCTCACTTCTTTCATCGCAGATTGTAAAAGGCGCAGTCTCTCCTTGCAAGTGGTAGTCAGGAACAAACGAGAGTACTTCGCGGAACCAGTTGATTGCGAACCGAATTGCCCCAAAGACCCGCCCGAGTGTTCAGAACGACCCGCACCAAGATTTTGAGCGCCAGGATTGCAACGGTCGGGCCCATCTCCGCTACCACACACATTGTCATCCTCGTCAAACCGGGAGACGAGAGAGCGACGAGCGGAATTACGGTCATGTGTGTCCCCGGCAGAGGCACAACGTGCATCATCCAATACACCCCCCTGCCCATGACCTGATGCGGCGAACGAATGTGAGACCCGCGATTCTACACTCCGACGTCCTCCGTCACGCAGTGTGGACCCTCCACTTCCAAACACCACTCCTGATGATTGAGAACACCCCTCTAGGGGGATGGAGTCCAACCCGTCGCGTCCAACGAAAAGTGGAGGAGGAAATGGTTGCGCAGCACACGACAGAAACTGCAAACGGCGAGGCTGCAATGGCGGCGACAGCACAGGAAAACACAACGCATCGAAATCCGACATAGGGTGTACTGGAGTGTATGGACGGCACGTTGGACACGGCAACAAGGGCGGCAACGGAGAATGCACAACTGCAACGCCGGGAGTGACGACGACCGTGGGCGAAAGAGAGTGAACACGAGGACTCTTTGTTGATCGCATGTCATCCGGGCTGCCATAAGGGGATACTCCCAGCAAACCGCGTTGTCCGGCATGCGGTGATACCGGCGTGGCGTTTCCACTCGCGGGCCAAGTGGGTGACCGTTCTGCTGACCTGCCGTCATGAGGCGTGAAACTGGCTGGTGCGTTATCCATGACAGATAGGCGGCCCTCTCCCGCGCCGTTCATGTGGTGCGTGGTGGACAGTGCAACGCCGGCAACACAATCTCGAAAACGATGACCTGCCAAATGGTGAAAATAACCACGTCCGGTCCTGTAATCAACAAACATTCATTGGATGACCGACTAAGTGACTTGCATTGTCACCAATGCACTGAAAAAGAGACTGATTTAGAGAAAGACTCACGAACTTCTTGACAGATTGACCTTCGGCCAGACCGCCTTACACACATCCAATTCAGCGACTGAGTGACCAGCTTGATGACATGTCAAAACCCCCGCACGACAAACCGGAGTCATTGGATTGATCGAATGATCGATTGAATGATTGACGTTTTCATATATATATATATATATCGTCACAAATAGAACTGCTCGGTAAACCGTAGGCAGAGAGAGAGAAGAGGACAACAATCGAGGGGCTGTGACAAACTGTTTCGTCGGAGTTTCACCGACTCATCAGTATATATATATATATATATATATATATATATACAGAGAGAGAGAGAGAGAGAGAGAGAGAGAGAGAGAGAGAGAGAGAGAGAGAGAGAGAGAGAGAGAGAGATGAGTTCAATCGATCAATCAATCGATCAATCAATCAATCAATCACCCAACCAATGATTCAATCAATGTATT